AAGTGTGCTTGTAATAGGATTGATTGCTGAAAAGTAATTATCAATTGATTCAGTAGTATTATCACTATTAATTGTATTATGTGTTGTCATTTTACTCATTGAACTTTCTATATAACTTATTTCCCTGTTTAATTCTTGTATTTTCAAATCCTTCTCTCTTTCTCTCAACCTGTCAATTTCTTTATCCTTATCTTTAATTTCTTCTTCAATTGATGTGACCTGTTCAGGCATGATTTCCTTCTTTTTTATTCCTAATAAAGATTTAATTTTATCTAATATTTGTGATTCATCTTTATTTGTTGATACAGGTTGATTATCTTTAAAAATAGTTGATGTGTTGATTTTTGAAGGTGATCTTTTATAACTAATTGTTGGTTGATTATAATTCGATGAATCGTTGTTATAATTAATAGGTGGTTGTTGTTCAACATTGCTTATTGGTTGATTATTATTTAACGAATAGTTATTGTTATAACTTATTGATGAATGTGTATTATTTGATGGAGGATAGTTATTAATTGGTAATTGATTATTATTTGATAAGTTATTGTAATTATTTAATGTTTGATTACTACTTCTAGGAATTTCTCTATTAATAGTGGAAGATTTGTAAAATATTGACTGGTTATTAAAACTTTCATCTTCACTTGAATCTTCCTCATCAAAATTTTCATTAATAGTTTTTATCTTCACACTGCTTTTAACTGAATTATTTTTTTTTGATTTAGTTTTATAACTAATTGAAGGTTCATTATTACTAGTTGTTACTGTTACTGTCTTTGTTACTGTAGCTTTATCACTAACAGTCTTAGGGTCACGATCATTCTTTAATGTTTTTATCATTTCTAATATTTTGTGAATATCATCTTCTTTTCTTTCATCCTTATTAATAAATATTAACAGTTGATTAATTAAATCTTTATCTGTATTATTTTTGATTGATTCTGTTTTAGTTTCCATTTTAGGAAAGTTTCTTGATGATACACCATAATCATCAGTTCGAATGGTTATTTTAGGTTCTGTACAATCTAATTTTGAATTCTTAACTAAATCATTTAAATTCTTTTTAAACATTCCAAATAAATTTGAAAGTTTAAATGAATCACTTTCAGTTTCTACCAAATTTGCTTTACTTTCTATTAAATTGTCACAAATAATAAAATCTTTAGGTGGTCT